CACCTTGCAGCCCCTAGTAAAAGCAATGCATTGAATTGTGCAAAAGTATTAGCATCAAAATGCATTCAAGTATCACTGTGCAGAATACCATATTTCAGAACAAAGTACATGACTGGGTTCTAATATTTGAATAATTGAAGCTGGTAAAGTTTATTTAACTGTTAATGTGATGGTGAATTTCCCTTCTGGGGTCAGTAGAGTCTTATCTTAATGTACATCGTTATTTATTTGTTCATTATATTTTTTGTGAGTACATGTACTTCACTGACTTTCCCTCTTGAGCCACCATGATTTGGCATCAGTGGTTTTAAATAAAATGCCTCTGCAACTATTGGACCATAAAAGTACGCATGTTACCATTGTCATTATCACTTAGCTCAAAGCACAGCTGTGCTATAAAACCCTTGTTGTACTTTAATGTGTCCAGATGAACAACAGCAACAAGGCACATTGATAGCCAAGCGGTTAGGACACATACCATGTGGGCACGTACAACCTGAGCAGATACCAGTTTCGATTCCTAGTCGGTTGGACCATTTGCCGCATGTCGTTCCGTTGCTTCACCATCCTGTCGAACAGAGGCTAAAAAGCTCCAAAATAAGCCTTTAAAAATATAGAGGGACAAGAATGGAGCTGGGAGGCCCCTCTAAGTGAAACTCATGCACATTGTCCATAGATGGAGCCTCAGTATCACCACAAACACAAACTGTGCTCAAGAAACTCAAACACTCATTTGTGATTTCTACTGGCAGGCTCCAATTGGCTCCATTCGATTGACAGTTCGTGATAGAACTGAGTGCATGAAATGTAATGTAGTTTATGTCTTATGACAAAGGTACTGAACAAATCCAAGTTATAACATCTGGCAAAGTGGCTGCTCTGTGTTGTAGTTAAAAAAAGAAGAATGTCCCGTTGAGACAGACAGTATGGAGGTTTTCAATTTGCAATGAAAGCAGCATGAGACCAAAGTCAACCCTGAGAATGCATCATATATCTGATCAATCAATCAGATATACTGTTTGGCCCATCTGGGATCCTTCTCCCCGTGTGCTTCAAGGTGTTGCAGCTGAATAACATTAAATAACATTATAATAACAAAATTGTGGTCTCTGAAGTCAGACAACATTAAGACTCAAAAGTAAAACTCGGCTACAGTTTCTTCTTCGTTGTGGTTATCCATCAATGACATCGTCTCTGAAAAAACTCCTTCTCTAAGCTCTGCATAAAAAATTCAAAACAAAGACAGCTTAAAGATCATAGCCTGTCTATAATTGCCTCAAGCAAGAAAATTATAATTACATGTCCCCTGGAGAGCCTTGAACCGCTGCATGTTTAAAACAAGCAGGGAATAATGCAAAAGTGAAGGAGCTGTTAATTGCTAATAGAATATCTGTAGCGACTCCACCAAAGACGTCCTTCAGGATTTTAGGTGAAACAACATTCGCAAGACAGAAAGAGCTAATTCACGTGAGACGCCATTTCTTTTAAAGCCACAGCCAAAATGGGCTGGTCCTGAGGGGAAGGCTTGATTGGCAGGGAAAAGCTCCGAGCCTGATGTTTGGAAGCTTTTCAGTACAGCAACTCCTACGTGTTCTTTGGGGAGGCTTTGTTGTTGTGACTGGAGGAGGGCACGACAACAAGCACTTACATTAAACAGTACCCCAGAGTTCTGGCAATTCATAGAGATAACAAAGAGTTGGATCCTGCACAGTTTTATGCTGTTTTAACATGAAATTGTTTTTGAATAGAACAAAAAAATCAAATGGCCCTTTGTTTTGTTTACTTGTGGCTCCCAGGCCAGACGATAAGAGCTTTCAGCTACTTAAGATTCACAACATTTTATTGACTAATTTGGGCTTAACTGATAGAGGAAGAATTTAAAATTCCCTTAATCTTTAAAGATGCAAACAGAAAGGATCATCACATCGCACACTGATGCACATTAGGGGCGCTGGCTCGATGTTGGTTGACGAAACACTTTGTAACCAACTACAGGAAGGAGTACATTTCTATGTCCTGCCTGGATTGTGTTGGAGATGATGCATTGCCTGTTTTGTATGACTTATTGTGTCCATCATGTGGCATATTGAAGACACAAAAAACATGCATTTTAAGTTAACTTCTACCCTGTGAAATGTTATTTGCGGTTACTCGATTGTGTCATTTCTTTCATTATTACATCCAAACGCAGCACAAAAGTCTGGAATTTTCTTCAGTTTCAACTGAGCAAAGCCCAAGTCAATATGTTAATAAACAACAAGAAAAGGCCCTTTTTCACTTGTCTTCATATTATTACCTTGATATTCTCATGTATGAGCCAAGATATCAAAAGTTAAAAGATCTTCAGTAACTGGTCTCACTGTTAATATTCTTTGCAGATTCCTAACCAGAGACATTGTAAAGCCATCTTGGGACTATGTACAAAACTAACATACACAAATATTCAGACTGGCAGGAAAAATAAAAATCATAATTCTTTTGAATAAAATATTTCACAGCTCCCAAGAAACAGGATTAGCGAGGAAGAACTGTGCCTCTGAACATAATACCATTTAGAGAGAGTTTATTCGGCCAGAACCTTAAATTAAGATTTAAATGAAACATCTGCATCAGCACAATGTTGAAGAAGTTGAATATAAAGTGTTGATTCTGTTGACGTGACCAGCATACGCATTACACTTTCTGTTTCAATATGATAGAGGAGAAAAAAAGAGAGGTACTTTTCTTGAATAGATAGGCTATATTTAGGAATGCACTTTTGACTTATAGCCTGCCAGCTACAACTATCAAACAAATGACTGAAACATGAAACACACAGGCCTAGAGTGGTCCCACAAGCACTACTTTTATCTACTTAAGAAACTGAACCCATATCCTTTATTACCCCACTGGTATGAGACCTTGTTTTACTGAGATTGACTGAGATGGAAATCTGCAATCACTCTGTATCGTATGATAAATAAAAGAAATATCTCTGCATGTTACCTTGAAAAAATATGATCCACATCGAATCCCCTTGGCTTATGCAGAACCGAGCTCAATCTGCATTTGAAATGAGAGGTAAACTCTTTGCTTTATTCTTTTACCTTATCATTAATAATGGAACTCACAGGCTAATCTTCAGTGTATAACAGAGGTGAGTTCACTCCTGGCAATATCACTTAAATGTCAAATAATTCAATAATTCTAAATCCCATCACATCTCAACAGATGCATTGCGTCTCTTACAATCAATCAAAAACCTGTGATCACTGAAACTACATTGAGTATACCCGTGACTTCCAGTTAGCCACATTGCATGGGTATAAAATGATCTGTGTAAAAAAGACATTTATCAGCTTTGGACCTTTGGGTTGTGTCTATCTGCATGTCTGCATCATGGCTCCACAATGGAAAAGAGAAATTAAACTAAAAAAAAACAAAACGTGATGGATCAAAATCAGTTGAAACACAGTTGTGACAGTAATCAGGGAGCATAGAACAATCCATAGTACCACTAACTGTCTGTCCTACGACAATGACACCTCAGACAGTGTGCTTCTTACACAGTTAAGCCGTGAAACACAGATGAGGAAATCTGAATTTCTACGCCCTCTCAGACTGTACAGGACAATTGATAGCATCATGTTCTACTGAGGGTGTCCAAGAAAAAAAAAACTTGCTCTTTAGCATTAAACTGGAAGAGGAAACCTGCCTCAAAAAAAAGCCTGATGGAAATTGGCAATACCTTCTTTGGTCAGATAAGGAAAGATTTGTTTCGCACAGTTAAGGTCTGAAGTGTTGCATGGAAGTTGGAGCGGGATGATATGGGGCTGCGTGAGTGAATAAGGTGTTAAGAAGATTTATAGATGGCACCATGAATATCTGTGGATGACAAGATGAGTCCCAGTCGACAGAAGCTTGGCAGAAGAGGAATATTCCAGCATTATTACGATCCAAAGCATGCTGTGAAAATCAAACAACACTTTTTCAAGAAGGAGACCGTAAAAAAAACTACAACCTGGCCATCTATGTCATCTGACTTCAATCCAAATCTGGTAGTGAAAGGTAGAATGACTATTGTTGTACTAAATTCCTACTGTGAGGCCTGCA